GCTGTTACAATCCAGTAAAGACACATCATGTTCAACTACGCTCTTTTCTTTTGAACATAGATTTGTTGGCTGTGGGAGAAGCTGGGGGAAAGCACCAGGAAGCAATAGATGGGGCTGCTCGGCTCTCAGTATCGAAGGAGAGTTGGCAGGACCAGGAGGCAGCCAGCAACTGAAACTGGTGAAGAAATAGCAGTAGGCACAGCAGGAGAAAATCATCGTTAGAAAGTAACGAAGAGACAAAGACAAAAGGACAGAGCAGGATGGACCAGTAACCACCACAGATCCACCAAGACCTCTGAGGACATGCAGCCATCATATTAGCCCTGGCACAGGCAGGCAAAGCAGCTAAAGCCTCCTTCTCCTTACTGCTCAGCCCCGCTGAGGCTGCTGCCACCTGAACTAGCAATCCTCTCCACCACCTGTCAACCCCCATTATGTTAATTTTCTGTTGAAATCTACCATAGATTTAGTCATTGAGTGTTTTTATGTCAAAAAAATCAGGATTTCTTTCCCTGGTTTGCGAGTGCTGATCAGTATTGAGGCTGGCTGAATTTCAAATTTCAATACGTTGACTTAATATCAATACAAAAAAGTAGGCATTTCACAGATTCACAGAATAGTTTAGTTTGGAAAGGACCTCTGGAAGTCAGCCGACCCAAACTCTGCTCAAAGCAGGGCCAGCTCCACAGTTGGATCATGTTGCTCAGGCACCATCCAGCTGAGCTTTGAGTCTCCCCAAGGATGGAGGCTCCCCAGCCTCTCTGGGCAACCTGTTCCAGTGCTTAAGCACTCTCACAGTGATATGTCCATGGCAGTTTCCCCACCAGTTGATTAGAATGAGACTTTTTTTGACAAAACCAAAATTCTGACAGCATATGACACTATACTGGAAAGACTTAAAAGGACTTACTTTCAAAAAGAAAATTCCTTTTTTCAAAACCAGGCCATGATACCTTCTGATCATAATAACTTCTTTTTTTACCTCATTACCTATGCAGCACAACAGCTGCAAGGTCATGGCATCGATTTTTGAAATCACAATACAGTGTTGTAGAAGAGGTCAATGCAAAAGATAACATCAAAAAAGCAAAGGAAGAGTAAAGAAGGCAAGGTAGGGTTTTCAGAGGCACCTAGGGCATTGCAAGTCCAAAGGGATCTCAGTACCATCATTAGGCATATTATTACTGCTGACCCCACTACAGTCCCTATTTATGAGCAGATAAAAACCAATCTGTTCCTCAAAGAGTTTCAAAGTGAAGGCAGCACCTACTTAGAGAAATGTAGAAAGAACACTATTTTGTTTCCATCACGCATAATAAATGTAGCAAAGGGAAATAACAAGCGCAAGCTTATTACTCACAATTGCTGACAATGGTATGTTTAACTTGTCAACCAGTGATACTACAAAGGCACCTGAACAATGCCATTATTAATGGTCATTGCAAAGCCAACGGGAAATTGACCACTGCAGAGCACAGGAGCAGGATGCCAGCAGATGCTGGCATTTAGCATCATACAGTAATCCTGTCTATATTGGATGCTTCTAAATTGGGCCAACACGAGCACAGAGCAGCAAAAAGAAGGGGTGCTTTCCAGCACCTTCCAGTCATCAGGTGATGTATGTTGCAGCCACCCCACCCCACCCACCAAATGCCAAACGTGACCCTTGGTCTGTGACGAGGATCAAATAAAATGAAGGAAAAGTGAAATACGCTGTCTCCTTCCTTTAGTGTGAGCAGCTCTCACTTGAAGGCATTTCATGATCACACTTCCCCGCCCCCCACCCCCCACTGATTTCTAAATATTAAAATGGCAGACATACCAAACTGACATGGAACAACACAAGTTTTAAAAACTGAGTGTGTCTGAAAGGCACATTTTAAATGCCTCACCACAGTCTTTTCCTGAGTTTTGCACACTAGTTAACCTAACAAGATGTACTTACCCTACAGAAGGAAGGACAATTACTTTAGATGCCCTGGAACAACGACTTTCTGCTGCTCTGTACAATTAAATGGCTTTTGCTATCAGCAACCTGCAGCTTTTTAAGGGAAAATGCACAGAAGCTACAATCTGTTTGCAAGAGGTTCTGCTAATGCCCTGCGACCATGATCTGCTCCCTTCCAACTACGCTGCAAATTCCCAGTTTGCTTCTGAGTGGGGAAGATGCGCTCAATCCAAATTAAACATGGTTTCCAAGCTTGAGATGGTAAATGCACACACCCCTACACTATGACCATGATAATTCATTTTTCCCCTTTTCAAAAACAGCATGTCACGAAGGATCTGAAAAATTGTCTCTGGTCTCTCCAGGTGTCACAGTATTTCTGATCTGCCAGTAAAATGGATACAGCGAGGAAAGACTCTGTCTCTGGCACTATGTCTGATTTGTGTGACTCCTTCACACATTACTCCTCTGCTGGCAAACAACGCTCTGCGTGATGGGAGTCCAAAAGAAAAACTGCTCTTCTGAAGCCAAAAACTTACCGGAGGAACAGAATTACCACTGTCAAAACCCTCTCTTGCCCAGTCTAATGCGTGTCATACAGGGCACGCTGCACTCCAGGAGCCGCCAGCTCCCCTGGGGCTTGCAGGGAGCTGCTGACTTCCCCTGCCACAAAGGGTTTCACTCTCTCTGCCTGCCTTAATGACTACTGTAAATTCTTGCAAAATCAGCACCTCAGCCTACCAAACTGAGACACCGTGACACTCGCTCCGACAGGGTCTCTCATGTTCCTTGCAGCTGAGGGTACCAATAAAATGATAAAACACCAATGCAAGAATCCTTCGAGTACCTGGTCCTGAAACAACCTGACACCTAAAACAAGAACTTCATGTCACATCACACCTGGCAGTTTCTTATGTAACAGAAGATCTTTATATGCTAAAAAAAGAAAGCATCAGAATACTTAAGCAGTATTCCTCACTGAAAAATCCGATTTTCCAGGGTGAAGCCTGTACTCCGAATTCTGATGAAGCCACCCTACAGGTCTGGCTGAACACAGAGCACCTTCTGCAGCTTCAGAGCCCGCATGCAGTCACTGGTGGCGTTAAATCCATACCCACACGTACTTACACTGCTTTCAACAGATGAACCTACCAAAATTAGCTGGGACAGAACTTTATGCAGTGCAGTCGCTTTTGAGCTACGCATGAATTTCTGTTGCTACTTAGGTGCCTAAAAACAAAATTATGAACCCAATTTCCTATTCATTCCCAGATTCTTCCATTCCTGGTAAACAAAGCTGACCCTGCCTTGATTCTTGGCTGGAATCACATCTTCTCTCTGAAGATGAAGCTCTGTATTTTAGATGTTGTCACCCACACACAGTTATTTAGTAAAATGCTTGAGAAACAATGTATTTGAGTTGCTCACAAAGAAAAACCTGCTGTAAGAAACATGACTGCAAACCATTTACAATTGCTTTAACCAAAATTTTTCAAACAATTCAAATTACTCTAAAATTAGGCATTTTCATGTTTTCAAGTCTTTATACAAGCATGTGAATTGCCTTAAGCTTGTTTAATGAATGTTTTTCATTAAAAGACCATAATTTAATTCAATTAATAAGAAATTATTAAAGTGGGAATAATAAATACCTCCACTGATATTTTAAAACCATTAAGAAAAAAGTTTATGCAAATTTTGTTGACAGTAAGACAATCTCATTTTTTTGCCTTTCTGTATAAGCAAGGTTTTTCTTGTTCTCCTGAGTTACACACAACCTCTATACATTACTGAATATACTACTTTAATCTTTAGCCAGCTTCTTCCATGTCTATAGACAAAGCATGCAGTAATCCAAATACGAAAGGAGTAATTGCATCGATTCAAAAGCGACACTAACACGATTGCAATAAAGAAAACAAAAAAGCTAATAAAAAGCTATTTATTGTTTTATCAACCAGTTCTTCTAAAAGCTTCCTGAAGAAATTCCTCCACATTGGTCTGAAACTGCCTGTCTGCAATGGATGCAACAAATCCATCTGACAAAGCTTTAAATGGCCTGCAAAACAGAGTGATGTCGTTTGACAGACACACATATGTGCTGTCCTTTTATTAGTTAATGCAAGGCATTGTCCACTTCAGAAGCATCTTTTTAACTGGGAAGTATATTCACCTGTATTATTGACATCAGCACAGATGATTTAAAATGAATGAAATTTCCTTTTCCTTTCCTCTATGTTTGTTTGCTTTTTTCTTTTTTCTGTCTATACAGCAGAAGTCAATTACATCAGTTTCATTTTTATACATATTCAATTTCCGTATCTGTCAGGCATAAGCTCTGCATAGGAAAAAGCATTTTGCCTAGAGTCTTCACTTCAGTGCCTTTAAGTCCCAGTTGTGCTTAGCCATGGTTTTACTGACTCTGCAGACAAATACTCGTTTTTGGTTTTGGGGGTTTTTTTTGTTTGTTTTACAAGGGTTAAATGCAGTAAGTAAGGTGTAGTAGAGTGGAAGGACTGCATCAGTCTTTTGTAGTTCGTCACACCTGGCCACACAGAACAGATGTACCACCACATCAAGTCATGTAAGGTGGGCAGCTCTCTGCTGCTGGGGTCAATGACATTACCTATATACTTGGCTCCTATACAATGCTGAAAACTCTCCAATTTTGAAGAAGATACACAACCAGCCAACATGCAGTTGCCAGGACTGTGGCAGAAGCACACATTTTGAGAGAAAGGAGAAAAGCTCCTCATAAATCTCTACTTGCAGGTATACACCCTACTGAATTCAATTACAGCGCCAGTCTATACCAAACTAATTTTGATTTTCAAGTAAAAATTAATAATCAATTAAATAATCAATTAAAATATGAAAGACTGATCTTGGGTTCTCCCCTTTTGCTAACTGTACCAACAGTGCAACTGTTCCTGGAGAAGGGCCTCCCCACACCCCTGCCGCTGCAGGCAGGGGAAGAGGTGCAACAGCAGGCACATGTAAGCAACGTTAGCCCTTGCCCCAAGCAGTAAGCATCGCTCTCCCAGCACTTTACCTGACGGTGTGCTAGCTGCTGTCATGGCTGTACTCGTTGAGTGCGTAGGGCTGCTGTTTTCCAACAAGAGACAAGAGCTGCCACCACTGTTCTTCTTAACAAACGTCTCAGGGGCACTGGGCAGGGGCACCGGGTGACTGATTCCCAGTTCCTCTTCCTGAGCTTGCTGCCTTCTCAGTGCAACCTGGGAACAAGACAGACATAGGGCACGCTCTCTGGCTTGAGCACAATTTATAATGGCAACAATGAAAGACTCAAACTCAAGGCCGTTTTTTCCTCTTGGTACTCCTACGGTGTTGACGTCACGATCCAGTGGGTAGAGGAGGATATAAAGGAGGTTATAAACCTATTTAAAACTAACCTCTTTTCGTGTCCTAACATATATGAACAAACCTATGAAATGCTGGTGCTATATACATCTCCCTCCACATGAAGGCCACATGAAGACATTAAAGCTGACTATTCACACCACACAGTCACCCTTGGGCAAAGCATACTGTGAAAAGCAGAGTCACTACCCTCCTCCCTGCTTGATACACAGCTGCTGGGGATAAGAAATTCATCTGCTTGCAAGGCTCTGCTGTGTCTCTTCATCAATATAAAGCAGCTCTTCATGAGGGCTTATACCTGCAATCTGCTGCTTTGTGCAAGCTTGCTGGGCTCCCTTGCTGGCTCTTTGCTGGAAAACCCTCCAAGGGAACTTTAGTGCACAGTGCACTGTACACAGAGAGCTATCATGGCAGAAGCATGGCAAATGTAGGGAACCATCCTGCAAGCATCTCAGCCAGTGTCACACACAGCAGACAGCTCGCCAGGCCTGCAGCAGCAGGAGCTCCTCATTTCTTTCCTAGCACTGATGTTATACCATAGCTTAGCTGGCACTGGCAAAGCCCACAGGCACTATGCAGTCTGGACATGGGTGCAAACAAACCACATTCCCTGCTTACTGAAGATACAGAGGACCTTTTCTGCTTCATCTGAACTGGCAGATCAATTTTGCAGATCAATTTTGCACAGCCATCCTCCCATGCCAAGTATGACGTTGTCCAGGCAGTAAACACGACACTGGGAGCTTTACAGCTACCTACCCTGCAACTTGCCAGGTAACTGATTTGCATCTGTATTTGAACCTTGGAAATCTGTCCCAGATTGCAGACTGGGATCACGGGCTCTTCCTGCTGGAAATTCTCCTGGGTAACTCGGACAGGATTTCCCTCCATTTCCATGTTCAACAGCAACATTTTTCTAATACAGATGCGTAGTACCGTTAGAGAAAATAATAATAGCTCTTGCAATAGAGACATCCCAAACAGGGGGTGTAGACTTGCAAACACCACGGGTAACTTCGACTTCACAAGCCAATAACCTTGACCTGCAAAATTCCACCAGCACCAAGGGGCTTATTGCAAAAAAGGGGGAAAGACAGACTTTCAATGTGTAACTCCTCCACAGATAAGGTTCAGTTAGGGATGCTTTCAAAGCCACTTTCACATACTAGTCAGGGAAGAGAAAACCCCGAGGAGGGCCACCGCCCGGACCTGCTAGCAGAAGGCATTCACCGCCTGACAGAAGCTGCTGGGCAGCAGGAGAACAGTCTGTGTAGAAGGGGACACTTGCGCAGGCAACACCCCATTCTGTGCTCCCTCCCCCGAGGCAGGCAGCAAAGGGATCCACGTTTATTATTCCATGGTTCACACCGGGCAGAGAAAGCGCATGTAACTTGGGCATAACAACAATTTCTGGACTGCCATGCCACCGACAAGGAGGAATTATTTAGAGGTCGTTTAATATACCTGCACTGAATAATTAAATAAAAAAGTGGGGAAGGATTTAATCCAGGGCTGCTAAGGTTTTTAAAATCTGTCAGTGGGACATTTCATTTCATGTGGGATCAAAGCTCTACCTGGGTCCACCGACCCTCTGCAAACTGGGTCGGTGGGTCTGCTATCATTGCCTTTACTTGCACCAGTAGTCCTAACGCCTTCCAATTAACGTGTGTGCAAGGGACTATTTGCACGAACGAGAACGCGGAACCCCACTCACAGAGCTCAAGCATGCTAGTAGCCATTACACTCCCAGGACTCCTCTTAATGAAGTTTTAAAGATAAGGATCACAAGGACTGATACAGCGGTCATTTACAATTACACAATTACAAAGAGTTGTGACTTCAGCGGGACTACCTAACGAAAAAAGTTATTGCTACACAGAACTGGATGCAGTTTGGTTTCTTGGCGAAATATTATGGAGTCCTCGTTTAGATTTAAGATGACCCAGCTACACAGCTATTTACAGAGCTGCCCTATGCAAAATCAGGAACAACGCCGTTAAAAAAAAAAAGTATTTTTAGAAATGCACTTAACTAAAGCCACCTAGCATCAGGAAAAGCAGATATACCGAATCTGAAACCACCAGTGGAAAATATTGTCGCTAACCAATTAGTTGGCTAGATTATTCATTATCTAGTTAAAAACAAGTTGAAGAACTGCAATTTGACGTTAACTAGAAGGCTTCCTCTCTGAAGGTTTTAAAACAGATCCGCGCACTTCAGGACTGCCAGCACGCTTCGGCTTTGCCGGTTTCCAGACGGAGATGCATTCAGGCGTGCTCAGAGGTGAGCCGCCAAACGCTCACCGCTACCGCTTGCCACTGCTGCTGCTAGCTCACCGCGACCTAAATCCTACACGCCTTCAGGGCATCTCCCATTTTTTTACCAAAAAAAAAAAAAAAAAAATCTAGGCCCTGTTAATGAGTTTAAGGTTTTTTCACTCAAAAAAAAGTTCTTAAAATGTAACCACAGGCTCTTTATGCCAAAATGAAACAATTATTTTTCTATCAAAGAAGGCTGTCTCCCCCTCAAAATTATTTTCATTTCACTTTGGAAGTAAAATTGGTTTGGCGATAATCAATTACGACTCTTTAATATTACTCTGAGACTACTGTAATCTTGTAATTGTCTTCAGTAATGGTGTCCCTGTAGGCCCTGACTATTCAACTGGTAAAACAAATGTGCTCATTTTGACGTTAGGCATGAAATACATTCCTGGGTCTTCAGCGAGATTAAAAAAATGTCAGCTGTGAGCAACCAGGGCGGACTGCACCTTCCTAACCACTTACAGTTGAAAATGAGTGGTATTCCCTCCAGGCATGAAGCAGACTGGTGTGACTGTTATGAGCAGCAGCGATGTGAGCTGTATGGATTTACATTAGAGCATGTAGTTGATTGGCACTTGGTGGAACCCAATACATCGGGAAGGGGGGAGTGATTGCAGAGCATTACAAACACATGATAAATGTAATGAATAATCAGATGCATCCTTCAAGGACTGATTTAGACAGCTATAGAAATTGTTCCTAGATAATTCACAACAATGCTAGTTTTGCTGGTTTTCCCATAATCTGGTGGGATAGTGAGCAAGCTATTTACATTATAAAGGACTGAGAAGTGTGGTCACTAGAGTCAGCATAATTATTAGTAATTATTATGGTAATTAATAATGGTAATTTTTTGTACTAACGGATCCCACCCTTTCAATTAGCTGGACATGAAATGAGGGTCTCTTGGCAGAAAAGGAGGAAGAAAAAGTGCTCTTTGGTTTAGTTTGCTCATAACCAGCCTGGGAGAAGATAGGGAATTATGGCACAAAGGAAGCCTGTGACAGGCCAGTGATTGCTATCGGTCATTTGTAACTGGCATTGTTGTTACTGTCTTGTTTTTTTAGTAGCAGTTGTATAATTTGTTGACATCGTTAGCCAGGAGTAACTGTCTCTAACATGTATTTTGCTTAAGTTTGCTATTGCTTTATCAAAGAGAAGACAAGCCGTGGTCTAAGGGAGCAAGCTGGGATCCAGAGAGGCCATTATTAAGCCCTGTGATCCCCTGGGCTGGGTAGGCCGGGTTTGGTTAGGCGGCCAACGTGGCCTGGCCCAGGGAGAGGTGTGACCCCAAGATAAAACACCCGAGTTGCTGCAGCTCAGCGGCTCTCCATTGTGAAGCTGCCGGCTCCTTGCTGGACTACGTCTCCTGTTCGCAGGTTACCTTACACCCATATCCCTAAATGGGTGTAAACACACTTTGATCAATATCTGTGTGGGCAGGTGATCCCAACAAATACAGACGGTGAGACTGTGGTGACAACTCAGTAACCAGCACTTCTGGAGCTGGTGTGGGTGGCTAGAGCGGATATACTCTGCAGAGGGTGACAGGAGAAGATGCTTTTTCTTTTCTTTTTTACATAGGCTCCCCTTCCAACTTGGCACTATGTGATTTATAGACCCATGCAGCTCTACAGATATTATTTACAGTATTAATATTTCCTCTGTTACACCTTTAAATCTTTCCGGGCTCAACTTTAGATGATGCTATCTTCATGCTGAAATGAAACTATTAAATTACATCTCAATCTAAGATGAATGACAACTGTCAAATGAGTGACTCAACAGAGATGAAGCAGAAAGCACCTGAGATTATGTGAGGCTGATTTATAAAGATTGCATAAAGATTTCTATAACCCCAGCTTCATGACTCAGCATATCAGATGGTAATAAGTTACAGTAGGTAGAAATTTATTTCTGCTAGAAGCAGCCAAGGAAAGCTTCTCTCTCTTCGCGATCAGCTATCTCCCAGCTAATTCTGCTCAGACTGAGCCTCCCTGCCAGAAACAATCAGTGCCTATCCCACCCTGAAGAAAGCCCCAGATCCTTGCTGCTTGATGCTTTCCATTAGCATTTACTAAATTACATTTAGAGAACTTTTTCCTTCATGGTACAACGTAGGATACATCTATGTCGCTTTCCATCCTCCAGAGAGACCACATTAAAACACTCCTGTTAAGCCCCAGTCTCGAGCAGTCAGATGGTCCTCAAGTGAGACACCAGCAGAAGCTGCATGGGCTTGGCACGGGGATGTGACAAGCATTCAACTCACAGAAACTGAAAATTTTCCCTTGCGTCGTTTTGCTGGGATTGACATTTCTGATGTCAGTAACTGCACATTTTCCTGCAAAAGAGGAGAAGATGAATACAATGTTTAGTGGAACAAAAATATGATTTGCTTATACACTTAGTGGTGTATATCACTGATATTTAAGGAGATGAACAATGCGGACAGGCATGCTTAGCCTCCTATATTGACATGTGAAATTCCTCCCTGAACAAAATCAGTTGAGATGCTCTCAACTCGTAAGGGCATTGATCAGGCCCCGAAGCTGCTGTCTAGGGGCGAGTCTTGAAAGTGAAACCCCAGTTTGTGAAGTTCTGTGTGTGGTTGAGCACACCACAGGCATGTTTTCAGGTGCTCGAATGCAAATTGTCTTGAAGTCAAAAATGCAAATTAAAAAGGAGATGAAAGGAGGCTAAATCAAAAGACCAAGAAAGGCAAAATAAAATAAAAACTAACAAACTGAGGTATGAAAAGGTAGAAGAAGAAAAAGCACATCAGAAATGACAGGAGGAGGAGGAAGGGAAAAACTGGAAGGAGTGAAAAAAGAGAAAAGAGAAGAGAAGCGCAGTCCATAAAGCAGGCAAAGACAGGCAAAGGAGAAATAATAGCAGTCACCAGGTGCTTATATATGACTTTTCACTAGGAAGTTAGTGGGACAGCCAAGCTCAGAGATGAATCACAAGATGCAAAAAATGCAACAGTTCCAAGAAGAACACTAATTCAGCTGTCTTTCACATAACTAGCATTTTTCTACTCCTGCTTTTCAGGCTAACTGCACAGATCTGTATTATCCGTAATGCTACAGAACCAATTGTTGAAGAACAAAATACTAATGGTGTTAGCACCTATCTAGTATTTTGTGTTCTGGATGAATACCACCAGAATACTTAGATGCCTGATGAATACAAGTGCACAGTCGATCCTTTGACAATGAATTGCTTTGCTTTTGCTAGCTCAAGTCGCACTTTGAGTATGGTTTTAGCGTGTGATGTTTGTCTCAAATTTTTTTAATGGGTGTTTGGTAAGGATGACAACACATTACTGGATTTGACATCTGTTGGAGTCATGAAGGAATAGGAGATGGTTATAAACTGCCAGCAGTTCTAACACGAATCAGAAAAATCTCACTGCAAGTCTTCAAGAAATCGTAGTCATTCATTTAATGTGAGTCTGGGCATCTCTGGAATCCAGAGATGATGTCAGTGACTAAACATTACTGCAGTTTGCCGGCACCTTTGGAAGAAACTGTAATTAATGTTTCTGATGAAGGAAAAAAACCCATAAGA